CCTGATATCAATACCCTCACCCCCCTAAGACTAAGCCTCCCAACCTCCCACTCTCCACCCCCACACCACCCTGTGACCCTTACATCACTATCTGATGCATACATGTTTTATGCATCTAACACATGGAATGTCTCCTCAACCACTAAATATAGCAGCCTGGCACCACAAGAATGTTGCAGCATGAGAAATGTCGACTGCCACTGATACTGTGCAGCAACCCTCTCCCCTGGTTCAGAGACTACTCTAGATTAATGTCTAGTCTCTGAAAATATTATTCTGATAGAAACAAGCAACTACATCTAAACTGAAAAGAACCCCTAGTGCGATGTAGAACTATGGAAAATCTGGACTTGCTTCATTTAAGGCTATAGCATTAAAGTAAGGGCTGGGCAGAAGGGAAAATAGTATGTGAGTGAGTGAGTGAGTGAGTTGAGTGAGTGAGTGAGTTGAGTGAGTTGAGTGAGTGAGTGAGTGAGTGAGTGAGTGAATTGAGTGAGTTGAGTGAGTGAGTGAGTGAGTGAGTGAGTGAGTGAGTGAGTGAGTGAGTGAGTGGGTGGGGTTTAACGCCGCCTTTAACACTATTCCAGTTATGTTACGGCGTGCCAGCTTAATGTGGGAGGAAAGCCTGAAGTGATGCATGTCTCAGATGTTTACCACTAATCAAGTGACTTGAAACCACGAGCACGGGTATGGTGCTGACAAACCTAGAAACATAATCTGGGTGAACCGGGACTCAAGCCCACAATCATAGGTTTCTGGCCTGCCCAAGAGATGCAACCCTGCACAGCGAATTGCAGCGCCTTAGACGACTGGTCCACCCGTGCCCTGACTGTAAGAATGACTAACTACCATCCTGCACAATGGTTGCCACTCCCACCCACATATCAATACCACTTCAACCACACCCTATGCCATCTGCATAAAGCATATTCACTTCAGGTTGTCTGGGCCACATAAATACCTACAAACATACATATAGAGTTTCAACAGTCATCGCGGTGTACTTGTTTCAGTTGATCAAGTGTATTTGTTACAACTGACGTGCATCCAACGTGTGTCACTATAGGGCTATGGCAATGCTTGAAGCGCTTTGAACACTGAACAATTATTCAAATCACGTTTGTAAAGTTTGAACATTTTTAGATAAATAACACAATGTTATCTATTACACACAAAAACAACAGCTGTTAGATTCTCAAAACCCCAAATCATAAAGGTTAAGGCTCAACACTGTGACAAAAGATTTACTCCAGCACATGAAATATATAGTCTATGAATTTGTCTTGTAAACAATCAGTAATCTCCAGTGACTAACAAATTGTCTTTGAATCTTTTATTACACAATACATTTCTCTCCTCTAAAATATTTTGTTCCTGATGCTGAATAGAGCTGGATAGACTTGCTTTTATATAAATCTAGATTTGTTCAGTTTTCAGTGTTCCCGTTTACCAGTAATTACCAGTTTTTACCGGTAAAATTAGGGTTGGACCGGTAATTCATGTGACTGCCAGTCCCTGTTGACCGGCAAATAAAGTAGCTTATGAATCTTTGATGTTGAACAAAACATCAGTGATATTCATATAAGTATATTTTTCAAATAAAGTCAGCTTGTCTGTTACCATCAGGGTTTCCCCTTATCTATTACTAGTATAAATATCCATTTGTAGCAACTTGGTCACGATATATTAAAAAAAAGAAGAGAAAATTGTGACTGAAGTTTGTGTGAATGACGTTTAGATCTAACTAAGTTACTTAAGAGATGACATCTTTGCACTGAGCATGATGTTGAAAGAATTGAAACCAAATAATTTTCATGTGTTTTTGTATTTGTTGAAAGTTGAGACTGGCAAAAATTAGGGGGGACTGGTAATTTTAAGAGTTGCTAGTCCACAAGGACTGGCAGTTTCAAAATCCAGAGGGAACACTGGGTTTCATAAAATACATATATGCCACAGCCATGGTGCATGACTAATTGTCTGGTTACTGAGTAGAAAGATTCATGCACTCATTACAACTGTATTATCCTTCTGATTTTGATTGGTGGAGGTATGTCAAGTCAACTGACAAAATAACACGCGCTAACAACCCTGATAGTTTTCTGCAACTCCTGAAAATATCTTGGAAGCAGCTTGTCTCGACCAATATTAATGAGCTCTGTTCATTTCTTGTTTTCTAATGTCTTCATGAAAATGTTCTCCCATTTCCCCCCGCAATACCTTCTAAAATCTTTTGTATCTGCTCTGTATGGATATGTTAAGACTTGCACAAGTCTCTAAAGCAATAATTATTAGTTTAAATCATAAGTTCTAGATTCTGTAAATAATAACAAGTTGTCCCTATGAGAGACTGGAGTCCTCACTGTCCACATATCTAGACTTGGCTATTAGGAGGATAGAATTACTACACATCCATGGACGTTTCTTCCAGTACAGCCTTGGAGCAAGGCTAGGCTATGTTGCCCCATTTGTTTCCATGCCCACAACCCCCCATGGAAAAGTACCATCCAAAAACAGTACAAAGCACCCTCAGATGGATAAGTCATGGATGTATATAGTAATTTTATCCCTTTACATGTCTAGATAAGAGAGATAAGATAAGACGCAACAGGACGCCAGTCTTTAATACGGAAAATGTGTCCTTATTATTCATATAACCTCAAAATTATGATTTAAAAAAATAATTACTGCCTTACAGACTTGTGCAAGTCTATCAGTTGACATGCACCCTAACAAGTGACAAATTGCACTCAAACAGTACAAGTGGTATAACTGAGAGAGATATCAGGTCACATGACCTGATGTCATGTGACAGCCGTTGAATCACCCTGATATGTGTCTGATCTTGCTCAGTTAATCTGTAACTTGATAAATTACCCACCTTAGCTCCACCGCCTGTATGTACTCAATATACCAACACCAATCAGGTTTACAACAGTAGTAAAGGAATAAGCTTCCAGCTATAATTGGTTATTTTTCAAGCTGGTTTTATAAGTGGTAATATATTTTAGTAATTAAATCATTTGTTTACAAATCAGCGTCACTTTTCAGTCATTTCATTTTTTTCTTTTATTAAATCTGCATCGGGAATAATTGAGTACTTGAACCTTTTTTCTACTTTTTTTTTTTCACAGTTACATTGACATTCTGATAGATTGTAATCTCTTACTCACTCCAGTAGGGCTGGGACGAGTCAAACTTTACTGCCCGGGTACCTGACACCCTATTACCCGGTTCTACCCGGGTACCTGCTATGGGTCTCAGAGTTGGGTACAAAATGTCCGAATGGAAATTGTTTTACCGAAGAGCTGACAAAAACTATTGAGATCCTTACTCGAACATATAAAAGTCAGAACGAATGATTGCATAGTGAGAAAGAAATGTGAACATTAGCTACACTTGTAGTGTAACCATAGAGTTTCATTGTTCATGTCATTACAGTATATCACGTGACTACAGCGGGTCTGGGTAGTTATGTGGGTACCCGGGTCCTACTCAGGACCCATTCGAGTACCCGAGTTACCCGTCCCAGTCTACTCTCCAGCCTGCTTGAACAGTGAGTGAGTGAGTATGGTTTTACGCCGCTTTTAGCAATATTCCATCAATATCACGGCGGGGGACACCAGAAATGGGCTTCACACATTGTACCCATGGCGTGACGAGCGAACGCTTTAACCACTAGGCTACCCGACCGCCCCTTACTATATACCCCCGATGCACATATATATCTATTAAGTCATTGATGTTTATTATCCTATCATTTGTTTGGCTGTGTTTGACTTTGTGGCTCACCTTTTATCAAAACAGTATTTTGGTTGCAGGGCTTTTTTTAAAACAAATTGACTATTTATTTCCAACCATTCCTGCTTCAACTGCTTTAGTGGTTTCTAGTACCTATTGTCAAAATAAATGATTTGATATGCATCTTGACGTGAGTAGCACATTCTTTTTAGATCTGAGTACACATTCTGATGCCTCATTGTTTACACAATTTAGTTTGACAGGGTTGTCAATTAACGCAAATGTTGCATTCCCCCTCAAAAAATAAAAAATTAAATTGTAACTGATAAAATGTCTGTGTCCCTGCCATCACAAAGAATTATTTTTTTTCTGCATGTATACAGATAAAGATTACCTATTTAATGAAACAATTTAATGCTAAATATTTTTTCAAGGTCAAAACTTGAATTTTCTGTTTCTTCATTTTCAATCTTAACCATGGTCAATCTCATTAAAATCAGATCTTAGTTCTCGCTGCCGCTAAACAAAGATCTGAGAACACCCCATTACAGGTCATGTCAGACCGACTTTGTGCGAATTTTGACTGACCAATGGAATGACTGACAAGAAGTTGACATTAGCCAATCAGAAGGCAGCTTTCTCGAGCTTTATGGCACTAATTTCAAATTGGCGACTACGCTTCGAAACATATATTGACAAATTCTTAATTAAAAATTTAAAACCTGAACAAAAGAACATTCTGGAATGGCTAATAGATTGTCTAGATTGTATGGATTCAGTCATTAAGCCCGTAACTGTCATTCGGAATACCCTGTTTTTAAGTTTTTGAGGTTGTGTGATTAGAAATCACATTCCGACTGTCACTTTCATAATCTTGTAAGCGACGTTCAGATTGGTCGGATGAAAGGTCGGTCTGACGTGACCCCAAATGGGATGTCCTCAGATCTTTGTTTAGCGGTAGCGAGAACTAAGATCTAATTTTAATGAGACTGAACCATTGTTATCTTAACAAATGTTAACATTTCTGTGGCACAGAGAATTATTAACTTGGTATTGATTTTCACAAATTTGTGTCGACACAGAATCGATATAAATATCTGAAATGATAGTTTCGATATCAAAACATATTGATATGCATAATAGGATGAGATCCCTAATTGTTAGCCTTTTTACTCAACAGAATCCTGAAAGACTCAGGCTTCGGACAAGTGGCAAAAGTCGAAGAAGGCATCACCAAGTTGTTGTTGAGAGCCCTGACTTACCTTTCTTCAAGTAGGCCACAGCCTCAGACACATTGAACTTCCCTCTGTGGTTGGCGTCGGGGGAGAATGCAAGCTGTCCTTTGTGTTGACTAGTTGGTGTGGGCGGAGGCTCAGCATCCCGGGAATCAACTGACACATCGGAGTTCTCAAGTTTCGCTACAATACCTTCACCATAGAAAAAAAGCACAGTTTTATTATTATCTTTGCTGGAAGAAGCAGTAGCAGCAGCAGCAGCTGATAACTTAGTCTCACTAGATGCTGCTACATGTTCGGTCCTTAATGCATCGGAACCATGGCTGTTTCTATAACCCTGAGTTTTCGGCAGCACAACTCCGTTGAGTCCTCCCACGCGTGTCTTGGACATCTTGGCTGTGGTGGAGGATGGGGAGGAGCTGATGACACTGCCTGGAAGAACCTCCGCCCCACCACCATTGTTTGGTGTTGGTTGTGATGGTGTTTCTGATGGTTTAGGAACAGTCGGCTCTGATTTCTTAGAATTGTCTTTTGGTAACGTCACTGGTATAGACTGAGGTTCACTTTGATTATGATTTACACTCACTTTCCTTTCACAAGAAGTAGCTCCTTGCTGCTGAATATTGTTCACACTAGTTGTCACATGGTCATTGTCACAGCTGCTTTTCACTTCCTGCTCGAAGTTGGAATCAAACCCGAACGTAATGCCCAGGTTTTCTGGGGCTTCACCAAATCGTTTGTCCAGGAAGATTACAGATTTATTATTTTTCTTGCTATTGTTACCACCAACACGAGCACTCACAGACACTTGCTTACCAGGGTTTTCTTTGGAAATACTACCCAGATTCACAGCATGTTGAGATCGTGAACTTTCGGTGTAGTTCAACACTTCCGTCTTAATAGTTCTCTGAGGTCCATTTTTCGGCCCATTCTTAGGCCCGTTTGGGGGCCCGTTCTTAGGACCATTTGGGTTTTCAGTTTTTACGATTTGATTACCAGACATTTTGGAATCATTTGTTACAGTAATGAGTGGAATAGGATGACTGTCACTGGAGGAGCTGGAGGGTTGTCCCCCCGACGGACTCACACTTGTCAGAGTGTCCTCTGAAACCGTGATATCGCTAGAACAACTACTACTCGAGACGACCTTCGAATCACTCACACTCACAGAACTGAATTCCACGTCTACACTAGCAGGCACAGACACATCCTTATCGACCATCACAGGGTCTGACAGAAGGAATTCTTGACTACCACTTTTCTGTCGTGATCTCTGTGTTAACTTTGGACTGTTTTCCTGTTTGGTATCTTCAGGACTTGATCCGATTGAATGTCTGCGTTCAGTTGGACTGCCTTTCCAGACGGTAGGTTTCCTGGAGTTGGCATTGTCAGATTGGGTGTCAAATGGCTCCTCTTCCTCAGCTTTTGGGCTGGTGGGTGAATTGGGTGGTTTAGGCGCAGCAGCCATCTTTGCATAAGACACTGGGAAACGGGACACAAACTCACTCAAACTGCCTCCTTTGGCAGCAGGGAGTGATTTCACCGACTCAATGTCACTGTCATCCTGGGACCTCAGTTCAGTTAGAGTATCAATTGGAACATCACCGAACGAGTTCCTCCTTCCCTCTCTGAAAGTAGGCCGTGATTTGGCGGCATTTGCCTTCTTTCCAAGAGCTGGGAAGGCTGACGGGCTGAGATCCCGAGTTTGTTCCTTCTTTAACAGTGAGGAAATAGGGGGTGGTGTCACAGACCGGGGCTGTGGAAGACCCCGATTCTCCCTTGGTCCATTCTTTTGGCGAGGAATCTCGGACACAACGTCTTTAGCACCTGGACGTTTCTTTTTCTTACTCACCAAAGTGAACTCTTGTTCCACTGGAGGAAGGTTATCAATGTCAGTGAAAATATAGTCTTGATGATTTTCAGTGATGGCAAGATCATCACTGTCTAAATTAGACACCATCCTTGTTGGACCATTTTCAATTTTCATTTTGTCTACAGTTTTGGAATTGTTAATGATATCGTTCTTATTTTCCAATTTCTTATTATTCCGAAGCTGACCCTCTGGCTTTCCGTTCTTACCCTTTTGTTTCTTATTCTCCACAGAAGCTGGGAGAACAGCCTCCACAGATTTCTCCTTCTCTCGGTTCTTGGTTTTGTTCTTGTCTTTCGGGTCAACCTCCCTCTTATGCAAAGGAGGACTTTTGGAAGAACTTATTTTGTCAGCAAGTGGTTCAATGTCTTTGTTCAACACGAACTTGGTGTCTGGTTTGCTGCATGGCTGGGAATCCTCCAGTGGAGCTTGTGATTCTACTACACTGGTGGCTGCAGCTTTATCACCATAGTTGCCCATGTCCTCCTCCTCCTCTTCGTCGTCAGCTGCTACTATTGGACGTGCGTCTGCAGCAGCTGCGTCTGCGTCTGCTGGAGGTAGGGGGGATGCTGGGGCCTCGCTGGTCACCGCGGTGGGAGAGTTGTCAAGTTCCACACTCTCGTTGTGAGAGTCGTTAGTCTCGTCTGCCTGACCTACCCTTATCTTCTTCTCTTTATTCTTTTTAGCTGCTTTGTCTGCTTTTACAGCAATCTCGCTGCCAGGACTAGACTTCTGACTGACTTTCTTTTTCAGTTGTTTTTCACCAAATTTATGTGTTTCTATAAATTTGACAAGATCGTCTACACTAGCTATGTTCCCGACATAATTGGGAATATCTTCAGCAAGCTTCACAGGCTCCTTGTGTGTCTTTTTCCGAGATTTCTTGCGATCAGTGCTAGAGGACCCATCTTCCAAGTCTTTAACTGATTGCCCTTGAAATGGGAAAGAGTCGAAATTCGAAGTTTCACGTGGAAATTCAGGGGGGTTTTGGGGATATGTTCCATAATTAGTAGGCTTTCTTGAGCTGACAAGACTTCCCTCGACTGACTTGTTGGGTGGCTCTCTCATTTGCCTGTAGGCACTAGGTGCAATTGGGTTTCCGTTTATGTCATGGCAACTATTCCTGGTCTTTGAGCTGCTCACACGTTCATCAGCATCATCTGAAGAAAGAAGACAAAGAATTACAAACCAAGATCAGAAAGTTCACGAGAAGATTCTTATATAAGTTTAGGCAATATTCCAGCAGTATCATGGAAAAGAAAATTCTGACTTCACATATTACCACTGGCTAATCAAAATGTTTTCAGAATGTTAAATGAAAGCTTTAACCCAGGGCTAAACCCCATTTATGATCACAAAGAATTACTTCATTTGATTTTTTTTTTCTCAAAATGTTTGAAATAATGACTCCACATGAGGTCAATGAAGAACAGCTGAATTACCCCAATGACCCAGATGCGCAGTTAATCGTGATTATCATGGCGCAGTGTTGAAGCAAGGCTCTGCTCACTTCTGTGATTAGATTTAATGATTTTTCTGCTGCTGTTGATGTTATCACCTCATCCAGAACAGCAAAAGCTAATGTCCTCTCAACAATAACTGACTGACACAACCTAATACAAGCTTCCACCGATGCAGTATCCTCTTATACCCTAATGTCAAATGCTACTGGACACACAAAAGGTCAGTCTGGAGAATGATTCTCAAACAAGCGTGTGAAAGTCTTTCAATAATTAATTTCTTTTTTCTTTCCAAAGTACTTCAATACAAAAACACCATTATCTAAATGTCAGAGTGAATTGGGACAAGGCCTTCTTTGCATGGGGACATAAATGGCATGAGTAATTTTGCAGATAAAGTCAGAAACTTCAGAAATGCAAGCTTAACATTGCAGAGACATATAATGGAGATAATCGTAATACCATATTCGGCGTAATAATATTCACTCTGAGAAATGAGAAACAGGGGGGCTCTTATCAGAGTTGAAAGATCTGAAATTTCGTGGTTTATGCTGACAGTCTGAAATGTTTATATACGACAGATATATTTTTCCAGAATTTAATTGCCCATAATTTAGGGTGCATATAACACACAAGTGTGTATTATACGCGAATAAATAAGTCTTGTGTACATTGTTCAATTGGAAGGGGTGCTAATTGGGATTGTTCACTAGCCAATACATTAGCAAATATTGCCATGGGCGCTTATTAGAACAGGGCGCTTATTACGTCTAATACGGTATTTGCTTTTTTTGTTAAATCATCATGTCGCAAAGTAGTGTACATTGTATATGAACCAATATTCCAGCAATGTCACGGCGGGGGACACCAGAAATGGGCTTCACACATTGTATCCACATGGGAATCGAACCCGGGCCTTCAGCGTGACAAGCGAACGCTTTAACCACTAGGCTACCCTATCACCCCTCTAATGATGTGCACATGCTACGAGGAATCCATATAGCCCCAGGGGATGGCAACTGAGCCACTTCTGCGTATTTTCTATCCTTGTAAATCTTTCCGAAAGTAAATCTAATCTTGCATTGTCAGCAAAACACCACAGTGGCAATTTGCCACTGCCTAAGTCTAATGTTCCTCCACAGCACATGCCCAGGATACATCTGCTGGCATAAGATATGTTTTTTTAGCTGACGCTTACAGGGATAACATGCTTCATGCCTCTTTAGTATTCCGTACTCCAACCCTGACTTCTGGACAGAAGAGAGGAGAGTAGGGTGGAGATGAAGGCCAAAGTCTGGCTTTCTGTTCTTTGTGGTTCCAACTATTCCCATCAACTTCTGTTATTCGTAAATATGAAGGTCTGAACTGGGGATACCAGCGCTGGAAATTAACAGTTTCAGGCCCCTAGTCCTTACAATGAGAACATATAGAAAACCCCTTAAAAATGGCAAATTTCTACTCGTCCTTATGATACTTAACTATTGGGCAGTTTGGCAAGGACTTTAGGACTAGTGCCAATTTCTAATGCTGGGATACCGGATGTTGATGCCATCAGCCAAGTCACAGAGAGTGACCACCCAATCCTCATATGACTTGGCTCTTACAAAAAGAGACCTCTCCTGACCTGGAACATGGGACGTGTGGGGGTAGGACAGGAGAGTGGGAGTAGGTTGGGGGTCGAGTGACTTGGGATACGATGCAGCATGGGTTTCTAAGACATTCCTTGCAAACTTATGCATGACATCATCCTTTGATATAATATCTCCATACTATTATGATAAATACCATGGACCTATTTGCACGATGACTTTATTTTGGAAGTCACATGACCACCCCCACCTTGCACAGCCAATCAAAAGCATAGATCAGCACAGACCCACATCATAATCGTGGCCTCATTCAAGTAAGCCCTCACATATACTTAATCTAATCAGAAGACTGTTATGAATAAACTTTTAGCTTGAAATTTTAAAGTTTACAATACGATGACAATATCCATACTTGTTTCACTCAAGGAAAGTGTAATTTAGTCAATTTAGATTGTAATTCGAACCTGGCTAACATTTAAAGGTGTGGTGATGAATGATCCACAGTATTTATCATAATGGAATCGAGATATAATATTATAGATAATCCCAGATGGCTATCATCAGCTGTGTCAAATTAGCACAATCTTGTTTGCTCTATATCGGAGTATTCAAGTGGATGACAATCAACAGGTATTTGACATGACATGTATCTTCTATTTTGTTTGGTTTTATTTGTTTGTTGTTTAATGCCACATTCAGCAATATTCCAGCTGTAAATAATCAAGTCTGGACCAGACAATCCGAAGATTGACATCCTGCGCATCGATCCACGCAGTTGGGATACGATAACATGCATCAACCAAGTCAGCAAGCCTGACCACCCGATCCTGTTAGTAGCCTCTTACGACAAGCATAGTCGCCTTTTGCAGCATGCATGGGTTGCTGAAGGCCTATTCTACCCCAGATCTTCACGTATCTGTATCTTCTAAATGACCAGCGTAATGACGAAGATGACAGGAAATGAACAAAGCAGTGATATCCATATCATGGACTCCCTGCATGCTTTGCACATGACTTCCTCATCAGTCATTCAGTCAACAGTTGCAGCAACGGGCCCTTTCATGTGATGGTATGCACACAAGCCACAAAGGAAGCTGAGGGAATTAGGAGATCAAAAATGACCTTAGCTTCAATTTCCACAAATGACACAAGATTTTAGTGTCAGTTTTGACAAATGTCACCCCTGTTTTCAGATAAATGCTGTTGAGCCATATTCACCAGATTTGAGTTTATGACATGCAGTACCATATCAGACAGTAATGGGCACAATTTCCTCCACTGTACATGCTGTAGTCATGTTGAAATCCACTTGGAATTACTCATAAGTCTTCAGGATAATATCAAAAGAAAATATTTGAGACATGAATGTGCTAAGTCTGAATACAATGCGAAAGTAGTTACGGACAACCTCATTTTTTTATATTACTATTAACTATAGTCATAGCAAAGAACCGAGTGGACCTGAACTTATTTTGAGTAATATATATTTTGTGACCTTTTAGGATTCCCCAAAACATAAGGTACAGTATGTGAATGTTGTAATATGACACTCAGCAATATTCCAGCTATATTCCAGCTGTAAATAATCAAGTCAGGACCAGACAATCCAGTGACTGACATCATGAGCATAGATCGAAACAATTGGGATACGATGACATGCATCTACCAAGTCAGCGAGCATGACCACCCGATCCCGTTAGTCGCCTCTTACGACAAGCAGTCACCTTTTACGGTTGCTGGAGACCTATTCTACCCCGGATCTTCAAGAGTGCAATATGACAGCCTCGTGATGGCTTATATGTAGTCTGGTCAGGTGAGGTGAAATGGGGTTAACGGTAACGTTGCGTCCAAGATTATTGCACTTATATAGCGACGTGCATGCACGTGTATGTGGCTGCTTGTACTAGTCCGGACTAATGCCGATTTATAGTGCTAGCACACTGAGATACCATGCCACAGTTTAACATGAATACCCCACTCAGACACAGTATACTGACTCCGAGCCAACCAGTCCTTGTTTTAGCCTCTTAATGCCGAGAGCCAGACAGGGTAACAACCAGTATCATCTTTTAACGTCTTTTGGTATGACGCGGCTGGGGATCGAACCCCGGACCTTCTGCACTCCGGGCGGACGCTGTACCATTAGACCACAGAGGCGGTCAGTCTGGTCAGGCAAACCACAAGGTATGATCACAATCAGCAAGGTCACACATGTTAAACATACAATACTCCGCTCTTACTACAGCTACTGGAGACCACTATTACACCCTGGAATCCGTACAGAGACAAGACATAAGGAAATACTGGAAAGAACAATTAGATTGGAAACATGCTCATCTCAAAGGATGCAAGTTTGTGCCAACAGTTTCAATACTTACACTGACTAGGGAACAGATTACTCACAAGGCACATTTTGAGTGAGCGAATGTAGCCCAAAACAGAATACATCATTGTCAAGTCACAACATAGATGTTTTATACACTTCTGTGCTTCACTGAAACGTACACGAACATCCCAGTCAAGAAAATGCTGAAGTCGGCAGTTTCAACAACCTGAATTACCTACTACCACGTAACTCATTCAGTGTTTGAATGAACTAAAGCAGCCAGGAATGATGACAGAAACTGTCAACCTGTGGAAGGCTTTTGTCAGAGTCCTTGACGACAGATTGGTAGCATCAGATTTATTACCCATCTGTTTCGGTAACAGCAGAGTGCTAATGCTGATGTACAGTGACAAGTCTCACGTGAGGTTCTGAAGTTTTTCTATAAAAAAAAGCTCCATATACAGTGACCTGAGCTGACCGATGGACTACAGCTCCATTTATATGGACCTGAGCTGACCGATGGACTACAGCTCCATATATAGGGACCTGAGCTGACCGATGGACTTACAGCTCCATATATAGGGACCTGAGCTGACTGATGGACTATAGCTCCATATACAGTGACCTGAGCTGACTGATGGACTACAGCTCCATATATAGGGACCTGAGCTGACCGATGGACTATAGCTCCATATGTAGGGACCTCAGCTGACTGATGGACTACAGCTCCATATATATGGACCTAGTCCAGAATTTTGCCAGTTTTGTTGTGTTAGCCAACTGAG